TGCTGTCTTGCACGTGTTCCATTGCAAAGGAGGACATCTGCCCTGAGTCCTCAGATGAGCCTCCTCCTTAGGATGGTGTGGGATCTTTTACTTGTCTGGCTGTGATCACTCTTTAGTCCTTCTTACTGAGGAGGTTCTGGGAGATTTGAGATGGGTTATAATCAGAGACTGTATCTGCCCTATTCAAATCTTCAAGACCAAAGAAGAAGGCTTAGACTTATCATGGCAATGGACCGCACAGATTATGAGAAATTAAAAGGTACCTAATAGGGGGAAGCCTTGAGAAGGAGTTTCCACTTCTGTTCAGAGAAACTTATTTGTGTGTTGTGGCTGCCCAACGATAACTGAGGTGGTGGCTCCTTCACTAACTGATGGGTTTCCACACAGTACCTTCCCTTTCACCGTACTGCTGTAGAGGTTTTCAGATAACTTCTCGTAGAGTGTAAAAACCCTTGAAGGCAGAGGGGTTTTGTTTATTTATCTTTTTATACCTTGAGTTGCTGCTATTTGATCCTTACCACAATTTTAAAGGCAGACCAGGCATCGTGTATGATCTTTATTTTGCAAAAATAAAGGGGGCAGATGCCCCCAAGAAATTAAAAGACTCACTCAGGATCACGTGGCTGAATTGGGATCAACACCTTATTCCACTGCGTTTTCAACCACTTACTGCCCTGTCTCCCAGAGCAACAGGGGGCATTCTGGGTGCTGTTCGTCCTGCCTTGGTGACAGCAGGGCCTTAAGATCTTTCCTTATTTGTGTAGCAGAAGGTGTTAGGTGCTATTCGCCCTCTTCCCTTCTGGGACTCCGGGCGCCCACAGGCCTGAGCACACGCAGGAAGAATTCCTAGGCACAGCAGCATAAAGCCACCAGACAGGGAGGCAAAGGGAGAGGCAGGAAGAGAAGCTCACACCCTCAGGTGGGAATGTGGCTGAGAAAAGCCACAGGCTCCTCTCCGCTGGCCCAGACAGCATCTAGCAAGGGATCCTCTATCTGGATGGTTTCAGCATTCACTTGCTGAATCTCTGTCCCTGAACCCCTGCAGCTAATGCTCCTGGAAGATGCTGGCAGGGTGATGCTGTTTGAATTCTCATCTTATTAGGCTTTAATCAAGCTCTCTTGTGAAGTGCTCCATAAATTCAATTTTGTGTTTTGTATATAAAATAATCAAATGAGAGTGAAGCGTCACCGACATAAAATGTTTTTCAAACTGGAAAAAAAAATGATACTTTTAATTTAATCATCTCCAAATCAGCTTGATGGGATACATCTAAGTGGCAGAAAGATTGATATAGTCTCTCACCAGTGGCCTCAGAAAGCCCATCATCTACATGGGCTGGTGAACTGATTTCCAATTCCTTATATAGTTTCTCTTCTCTCCATTAAGCACTGACCCTGGCATTCTTTAAAATCAACCTCAGAGCTCACCTCCTCTGAAAATGTACCCCCTTCACGTTTAGGAATACTGACTTCCGCAGCTTCTGTTCATGTGTACCTGATATTTGGAAAAGCTTGCTGTGATAAAGGATATGGGTCTGGGTCAGTCTGCAGGCCTGAGGTCCAGCTCCCAGGTCTGCAGATCAGCTAACCTCACTGAGCCCCCATTTCCTTACCTGTAAAACGTGGGCATGGAAGTGAGTGGCCTTCCAAATGGATGAACTGTTAACGGTCTTTGATATTTGCCTCTTCCACTGGATTATGAATGTGCCTAGAACAGGGACTGTTCCCTCAGCGTCTGTGGTACTTGCAGCCCCACCCCAGGCTGCCTGGCACTCTACATTGCCCCCAGTGGATACCCTGTCCATGCTGATGACCAGACTAAACTGACAGCACCTGTGGCTGCCAGGAGGTGGCACTTTGGTATTTTCTGCAGTAGAGGAACAAACCACAGAATGAGAAATCACTCGGGCTTCTGCTTCACTGACCAAAATAGAATACCCAGGGATCAAAACCATCAAGGAGCTATGCTTTTCATATTTACATAGAATAAATAAGATCAGCTTTTGATAGCGGTTATGGTATACAGGTCTACGGGTCTTAACACATGCATGGCCATGTGTAACCACCACGGTCAGGATATAGAGCCGGCCATCGCCCCCCAAAACTCCCTTGTGCCTGACTCCCCCCCCATTTCAAACCTGACAACCACTGATCTGTTGCCCATCCTTAGAATCCTGCCTTCTAGCAAATATCGCATAAAAGGAGTCATGCAGTTTGTAACCTTGTGAGACTGACTGCTTCACTCATCTTAATGCCTTTGCAGTGTATGTTGCATATCAATGATCTGTATCATTAGTTAATTCCTTTTTATTGCTGAATAGCATTCCATTGTATAGATATATCATAGTTTATCCATTCACCTATTTAGTTATTTACAATTTGGAACGATTATGAATGGAGCTGACATAGGTTTTATTTCTTTAGGATAAATGCCTAGGCGTGGGATTGCTGGGTCACATGGTAATTCTACGTATGTTTAACTTTTTGAGTAACTGCCAAACTGTTTTCCCAGTGATTTACATTCCCACCAATACCATACGAGAGTTCCAGTTATTCTGCATCCTCACCAGCATTTTGTATTACTTTTGTTTTGTTTTGGGCCATTCTGATAGGCTGTGGTGGTATCCCATTGTAGTTTTAATTTGCATTTCCTTAATGGCTAGGGGTTTTGAGCACCTTTCATGTGTTTATTTGCCACCCATGTGTCTTCTTTGGTGAAGTGCTTTAAATATCTTGCCCATTTTTACATTGAATTGTTTGCTTTCTTTTTGTTTAGTTTTAGGAGTACTTTATATATTCTGGACATAAATCTTCATCAGTTATATCTTTGAAAATATTTTCTCTCAGTCTATGGCTAGTCTTTTCATTTTCCTACCAGCATCTTTCTCAGAGAAAAGTTTTAAGTTTGATGAAGTTCAGTTTAACTTTATTTTTTCTTATATGGGTTATGCTTTTGGTGTCATTTCTGACATCTTTGCCCAATCCAAGCCCACAGAGATTTTTTTCTCCTATGTTTTCTTCTAAAAGTTTTATACATGGATGTCTAAATGATCCCAGTTATCCAAATGTCCAAAATAACCTTCCTCCATTGAATTGCCTTTGCACTTTTGTGAAAAATCATTTGGCCATATTTGTGTGGGTCTATTTCTGACTCACCATTCTGTTCCACTAATCTATGTTTTTATCCCTTTGACAATCCCTTTAACAAGAACATTGTCTTGATTACTGTAGTTTTGTAATAAGGGAGAAAATCAGCTACTGTGAGTCCTCCAACTTTATTATTTTTCCAATTTTTTTGGCTATTCTAGTTCCTTTGCCTTTCCATCTACATTTTAGAGTCAACTTGTTGACATGTACAAAAAACCCTGCTGGGATTTTGGTTGGGATTGCATTAAATCTATAGATCAATTTGGGAGAAATTGACATCATCTTAACATTTTTGAGTTTTCAATCCATGAACAAGTAAGTTATTTCTCTCCATTAACTTAGATTTTTTTTAATAACTTTCATCAGCATTTTAATTTCATTTCTTTCTTCAACATGCTGTTGTCGTTTTCAGCGTACAGGTCCTATACACATTTTGTTAGGTTTATATCTAAGTATTTTTGGTTTTGGAGTTGTGGATGGTTTTGTTTTTAAATTTCTGTTTCCAATTGTTCATTGCTAGTATACAGAAATTTTTTTTATGTTGGCCTTGTATCTGATGAGCTTGCTAAACCAACTTATTAGTTCTGGGAGCTATTTTGTAGATTTCTTGGGATTATCTATGTAGGCAATCATGTGATCTGAATATAGAGACATCTGTTTCTTCCCTTTCCATCTGGATGCCTTTTAACTGTCTTTAAACCTGCCTTATTGCACTGGCTAGGGCTTCTGGCATGACGTAGCATCAGTGGAAATCCTTGCATTCCTCCTGATCTTTGAGGAAAACATTCAGTCTTTCACCACTAAGTATGACGTTAACTATGGTCTTTTTGTAGATGCCATTTGTCAGATTGAGTCCTCTTCTAATCCTGGATTGCTGAGAAATTTTTATCATGAATGGATGTTGAATTTTGTCCTGTGGTTTTTCTGCATCAATTGATAGGATCATGTGACTTTTGTATTCTGTTGCTATGATGGATTACATTAACTGATTTTTAAATAATGAACCAGCTTTGCATTTCTTAGATAAACATCACTTGGTCATGGTGTATTATTGTTTTTACATATTGTTGGATTCAGTTTGCTAATATTTTGTTGGCCATTCTTACATCCATGTTCATGAAGGGTATTAGGTATTGGGTTGTAGTTTTCTCGTTACGGCCTTTGTTTATTTTTGGTATCAGGATAATGCAGGCCTCAAACTTGTAGATGAGTTACAACGTGTTCCCTTCCCTTCTCTTCTGTTTTCAAAAACAGAAATGGAGAATTGGTGTTGTTTATTCTTTAAACACTTGGTAGTATTCACCAGTAAAATCATCTGAGCCTGGAGTTTTCTTTTTTGAAAGGCTTTAATTACAAGTTTAACTTCTTAAACAGATATAGCAGTATTCAGGTTATCTGTTTCTTCTGGGATGGGTTTTGGTAGTTTGTGGCTTTCAAAGATTTATTTGGTTTCATCTAAGTTGTTAAATTCATGTACATAGAGTTGCTGAAAATATTCTCTTATTATCCATTTAATGTTTATGTGTTCTGTAGTGTGAGATCTCCTCTTCCATTCCTCATACTGGTAATTAAATCTTCTCTCTTATTTTTTTCAGACTAGAGATTTAGCTATTTTTATTGATCTTTTGAAAGAATCAGCTCTTCCATAGATTTTTCTCTATTGTTTTTCTGTTTTCAATTTCATTAGTTTTTATTCTTTATTTCCTTCCATCTGCTTGTTCCATGAAACTTCATAAAACTAAAAGTCATGAGGGTTACTGAGAAAAATATTCGTTGTTAAATTACAAAATGGATTTTTAAATGTATTCTTCTTAGAACCAACCTAATAGTTTTCCGTCATTGTATCTTTGCAGTTGACTGGTCTGAGCGTCTCCAACGGCAAGGACCAACTCGTAGTGTTCCATACGAAGGACAACAAAGACCTCATTGTCTGCCTCTTCAGCAAACAGCCAACTCATGAGAGTCGAATTGGAGAACTTGTCGGAGTCCTGGTGAACCACTTCAAGAGGTAACGTTTGATTTTTGTAACAAAGACAAGTGGCAAACCTATGAAATCTTTCTTCAGACGTCTCACTGAGCTTGTCTTGTGCCAATTTTAGGGCGTTGAGTTTTTTTCCTTCATAAGGACCACTTAAATCATCTGTTTCACGGGAGGCAAAATTAGCATCCAGGCTCAGTTTCACGATTAGGAATGACCCTCCACTTTTCTAGCCTCTAGCTAAGCCGACGAGTCATTTCCCTAATGGTGATCTCTTCACTGCCAATCGCAATGCAATTTAATACAAAAGATAGAAAAATTCATTTTTGTCACAGCTTCTTGTTTACCCCAAATATAATCGGTGAATGTGTCTACTATGAATATAAACCAATCAGAGGGCAAGTATAAGAGGACATGTAGGTCCATGAAAACTAAAGGAATTCCTGAGAAAGGCAGTAACCTCTACAAAAACATGGAGTTGTGATACAATGTGGTGTATTCTGAGAACTTCATAGTAAACCTAGATGATATATGTGTGTGTTGTGAACAGTAATGTGAGAAATATAAATAGGGAGCTGATTCCGAGGGTGACAGGGACCAGTGAATTGCTCATTTTAAGCAAGGGAATGATTTTGCTGGTTATTTATTGGAGTTGTTTTAGAGACGGGGTTTTTCTTCCCATAGGAGATCATGGAGTATTTGGGGTAGGGTATTTCTCTGACCCCAAAGTCAGATATTCTTCCCATTGTGACATACTGTCTCTGCTGCTCCACCACCATGATGCCGGGAGATGAGCACCCCTCAAAACTCAGCGACTCAGAAATGAGCTCAATATCCAGTTCCTTGTCTGCCTGAAAGACGTTTCCTAAGTTGCCAGAAGTAATCGCATATTCCTTATTAGTTGTTTTCCTTTAAGTGTAGACATGGCTTTTCTCTCTCTAAACAAAGGCATATTTATAATCATATGTCCACCTGGCTCATTCATTATACTGTGTTCGTTTTTGCTGATAAATGTATGGAGTAAATTTTAGAAGTAGGCTGCACAGACGATTTATGTTATGTTATTAAACTTTGTGTCCTAGATCAAAATAGATCTTTAAATATCTAATGTAGTTAAATGCTTTTAAATGCCATAAATAAAATGATGTTTAATGGTCATCTATTGGGGAAAAAACAAGAATCTAACTAAGGAATTACCAAAAAGTAATAATAAACATATGAGCCTTTGAAAGATTCTCTTTCGTCTGTCAAATAATTATAAAGCTGAGAGAAATATCGAAGAGTTTAGAATGGAAGGGAAAGACATAGAGAAGACCTCTCTACCGGAAAGTCTGTAACGCTAATAAGCAGGCTTATTTTCCTCCTAATATTTAGTTATGGCAAAGTATGGACAATTAAAGGGGTTCTAATTTGGATGCCTATACTAATGAATAGTTTTGCCTGGGAAATTGAAGTATTTTTTCTCAATCTGGGTCTTGTTTAACAGGTTCCAACCCCTTTAAATATCTCTACAAGTGGTAGAAAATGTGAATCTGGCCCTAGCATCCTTCGGTTGCTTTCTTTCCCCACACTCGTATGCATTCTGAGATATGTTTCTAGTTGTGTACCCTCCTATTTTTAATATATTTGAGAATTTTAAATGTCTTTAAAATTGATCAATGGAAGAAAGAGAAGAGGGCTGTCAGGTTGCTAGATTTCTTTTATAGTTTATTCTTGACGTTCCTGTCCTATGAATGAAGAGGTCAAGTACAAATAAGAGATAAAAGCCTTCCTTCCTACCCTCAGAAAATTCAGGCGCATGTGGAATTTTAACTTAGAGTTACAGTCATTAACTTGCTGTTGACTTCTTGAGGAAAGGTTAATTTGTTGTTGTTTTTCCTAGCTATTTTCCTTTATTGTCAAGTATCATATCATTGGTGTGATTTCAAGAAACAGATTGTGTTTTACAAGCAAAATGATTGTAATCATTTATCCCTGGGTTAATTATGGAAATCCAAAGGTGGTAGGGATTTAAGTCCAGACCAATTCTTTATCTTACAGATAATTTCTTAAAGTACATTCAGAGAAGTTATCTACTTAGAAGTTGGGAGGAAAGTGCTCAAAGTAACAAAACATACTATAGTAACAAAACATACTATTGATAGTCTAGATTTTAACCAGGATCATTGTCTTTAAAAAATTATAAAGAGAGCAGCCAGTTAGCTCAGTTGGTTAGAGCACAGGCTCATAACACCAAGGTTGCTGGTTCGATTCCCATGTGGGCTGCAGAGCTGCGCCCTCCACAACTAGATTGAAACAACTACTTGACTTGGAGCTGATGGGTCCTGGAAAGACACACTGTTCCCCAATTTAAAAAAAAATTTTTTTTTTAATTATAAAGAAAGAGGATTAGGACTTAAAGTTTATGACCAAATTCTAGCCAAGTTTCAGAGAGAAGAGGGAGACATAAATTTTTGAAAAAGGGTGTCTCATTTTATTAGGCCAAAACAAGTGAGGATGGTACAAGAAAAGGACATTGTAGCCTAATCTCACTTTAGTGCAGATTTTTTTTTTTAATCTTAAATAAAATGCCCAAACATTGGATCTAGGAGTGTCTTAAAATAGTAATTCATCATGACCAGTGAGGCTATACCCTAAGAATACAAGGATGGCTGTCCATTAGAAATGTCTATTATCTATTCATATTTAATAGTTCTTAATAGGAGAAAAAAATACTATTTGATAAAATTCAATACTTATTCCCAAGAAATAAATACACAAACAAAAATGAATACATTTTCAAGAAGGGAGGAGTGGGAACAAAGGAGAGGCAAGCCTGCAGCTGCCGATCAAAATCAGTTGCGCAAAAATGGTTACAGGGTTACCACACAGAGTGCCCGTGGCCTAGGGAAACTTCTAAGGCATGCTGACCCCAGTGTCTGGAGGGTGAAGAGGAAGGATGGACGTCAGCTGAGGGAAGAGATGGCCTTGGGCACAGGATGCTGCAGTGTGGAGGGAGGATGAGGAAAGGTCACAACCTGAACTGAAGCTGTAGGACAACCCTAGACGATAACCTCACCTGTTCAGGGGCTGAACTGAATTCAGCAAACAGCTTGCCGCTCCTCAAAGCAGATAATAAGCCAGAGAGAAAACAGCAAGAGAACAGTGCATAGGCAATATGAAAATAAGGAACAAAGAAAATATGGAAGGGCTGATTAAAAATATGTAAATAAACTTTACATTGAAAAAAAGAACAGCTCAAGCACAGACCAGTCAGAACAGACGCCATGCAGAAATACCTGATACAGCCATACCAGCGAGTCCTGAATATATTCCACAGATCAAAACTTACACCAAAGAAGGAAGGTGGGGGAGAGGGGTACCCAAAGTCCAATAGGTTTAGGATATGCTAATGAAGTCAAACAGGTTTCTTTACTGCAGTACTTCTCAGAGCCTTGACTATGCCTCTGTTCATTTTAAATACAGCCAATAAAAAAGCTGTAAGAGTGCGTGAGTGTGTGTGTGGCGGAGGGGGAGTTTTGTGTGTTTTTTGTTTTTTTTTAGCTGAGCCATCCTACCACCTGTTGGCAGCTCAGCGGCAACTCAGCTCAGGCCGGGACTCAAACCACTGTTGCTCAGACCTCGCACTCTTGAGCGAGCTCTTAACCAATGTGTGTGTGTGTTTATAAGTTTGCATACACACACACACACACACACACACACACACACACACACACACATATATGATCTTGTGTATTATACACTATTTCTGGAAAGATGTGCAGGACGTACATGAGAGTATTTGTCTCTGGAGAGGGAGAGGAGAGATGGGGTACCGGGAGAAAGAGGGAGGAGGGAGATTTATTTATTTTTCACTATAAACCTTTTGCAACAAATAAGTGTTGCTTATCTAATTTTTTTTCATGTTAATAATAAACAAACAGCAACTAGTGTTTCAGCATATTATAGATGGTTCTGAATTCACGGTTATGTTCCTTCCCTGTTCAGAAAAGTAGAAAAGAACAAAAGAGCTTTCTAAGTGAATGGTCTATCTCATGGCATTTGAATACCTTGAAATAAACCCAAATAAAATCTTTCGGAATACCATGGTTCTACATGGCCCATGCATATGTCTCCTGAACCCAGGTGAGGTTTCCTTTCCCGTGGTGGTTGGGCCAGCCTGCTTTGCAGAGGTTATGAAAATGGCCGACTTGACTTTTGGGTTGTATCTCATTCTCAGTAGCGACTACCTGCTGGTCGTGAGCTTTTCCGCCCACTAGTAAACAGATGGTCTCAACATTGGCTGCTGTAACTACGGAGTCACTAGAAACTTGGCGATATTAAGCTATCAAAGGACCCATCTGCCCTCAGCAGCTGTCCAGGCGTTTGCCTGTCTGGATGCTGAAAACCTCAGTATAACCCCAATCTTAGGCCTAGAAACTTCTTATATTCTCTGTTCTGTTTCTGTGGATGAAAGCCAGAAATCAGTGCCATCTGCTTCTTGTTTCTCATAAGCTGTCTCTTTAATATCTGCTTAATTAAAGGAGCTCCGTTGCTGAATTTAACTGAACACTTGAGCTGCTTCTCTGCTGTATTTTGTTTATGTTCTTTTCAACTCGCACTGAAAACCATGGTTAGATGTAGACCAATAAGCAGGCCACTGGCTGCAGCCTGGGGAATACAGGGGTCAGGGAAGATGGGACCTCTTGACTGAGATGAAGGAAGTGGAGGAGTGAGGCCACGTCCCACAGGCCTCTGCTCCTGGCCCTCCCTGCCCAGCACGGCCACTGCTGTCCGCCTGCCTGCTGCTGCCATATGGATCTCCTGCTCCTCTGTCCCTGACCCTGAGTACGTGTTTTGAGGGCCCTTGATCTGTATTCCCAAACTGCTTTCCTTGAATGCCTGGCTACTAATCATAGCATTGGGTTGTCGGAAAAGTCATGACGTATTTTTTCTATGTTTTTCGCTGCAAAAATGCATCATGACTTTTCTGACAACCCAATAGTTTATATTCCAACTAAAAATATATAAGTAAGATAGGGACGGCCAGT